ACACCACTCTTAAACGCTCACCATTCTTCCGCAACCCTCTTCATTTCTATACATCTCAACACTCTGCTGTCGGCACTCACGTTCAGGTACGGTGAGACGAATCCGATGACGGCGACGCTGTAGTCGCCGAAGCGGGTCACCACGGACTTGGAGACGAGGTCGCCCAGCCGGGTCGAGTTGAGGTTGGCGGCCACAAACTTCTCCCCGGAGGCGGTGAGGCGGGCCAGGAGGCCGCCGTCGCCCTCGAGACCCTCGTCAAAGTCGCTCAGGGACAGGGCCTGTGGAAGGGACAGGCCGTGTGATGGATGCGCCGAGGAAGAGTGGCATAAAAAGTGTGTTATGTAAGAAAAAAACATAAGTTAGCTAACGAACACTAATCCAACGAACTCCATCAAGCGCATTCCAGATCAATCCCAAGGCCAAACAAAAGCCTAAAAGTGAAGTGATTCTCAAGTATTGAAACCGACACGTCTTGGAAGTGACACGTGACCCATGTAGTCTCATTGCTGCCCGTGTCTGCCTGGGGGCGAGTTCTGTGTACCAATGCCACCCTGCGCTGTGCCCTGATCGCGACGCGTTCACTGACCGTGGCGTCGGGCGACACGGCGGAGTAGGCGGCCGCGTCCCGTCGGGACAGCGTGGCGCCGCCCGTGTTGAGCAGGAGGACGTTACCGCCGCCCTGCGCCTCCACCAGCTCCACTGTGCGCCGCACGCGACTCATGTAGTACTCCTGTGGGGCGACCCGTCACTGTCAGTCAGTTGTCGGGGAGGGAGAATGGTTGGGATGAGGTGACCACAGTCCTTGACCACGCTGCTCCAACAGCATCGCTGTGCTGGGATTTCATCGGAAAAGAAGCCGAGAAAGAGAACAAATTGACGCTACTCCTTTGATGTTATTATAATATGTCTCAGTTATCAATATTAGTCGTACTCGTGTCACCCTGCACCGACAGCGGGTCCTCTCATGAGCTGAGAGTTTTCAGCCTGCAGGAACAAACACACCTGCAGCGTCTTGCGTTAAAGCGCAGCGCTGCGGTACTCACCCGTTCGGCGGGGTTGATGGGCGGGTTGTACTGGACGATGGTAAGCTCGAACGGGCCCTGGCCCTGGGCGTCGGCCGTCACCAGCGCGGCCAGCACCGCCACCGACACCGTCCACAGAGACATGGCGCCTGAACCGACGGCAGAGCAGCTCTCGAAGTACGGGCTCGGGTCGATTCACTGCGCTCGCGGCTCGGCAGGTACGGCAGCTACGGCAGCGGAGAGAACACAGCGGGTTACGGAGGGAGGTGGGAGCACTGTGTCTCCAGGCATGGGAGACAATATACGTCACATTGTGTTTTATACCTTTACGTGTTAACACAACGCTTTCTTCTAGTGTTGAAGTGAGAGCATGCTACTAGCGTTTGATTACTGCTGTTTGCGATTCGATGCAGGGGTGGACAATTGTGCCGAGTTGGGGTAGCACGAGTCTTCCCAATTCCACGCCGGCTGCGCCAGCTTGGCTTTGGAGCCGCACCAGACGGCGGAGGTCAAGGTTACCGCCAGGGCGGCGGCGGATTTGCTGCGCCCGTGCAACCCCAACGCGGCATATCTCTCCACCCCTGATTCGATGTGAGTTTATGGCTGTTTACGTTCCTGCTGCCAAGGAACATGCACGCAATAGGTGCATTTGATTCGAGTTCGATTCGAACATGTGACAATTTATGGTGACAAATATGACGGACATACATCTAATGTACCGTAATATTTGAAGTTGCTGAACTTAGATCAGGTACTTGGGCATCAAGTCCCTTTAGTGAGACTGCGAAAAAATAAGAAAACTTGGCCGCCGATTTCAGCAATGATCATCAAATGTCTGATCACGCTTTTCGTAAATATTTTCCAGAACTTCACTAGTATGCACTTAAAATTATCAGCAACTTGAACGTCTCAAGTCATTGATCAGGTACCCTCCCAATTCGGAAGTTCACATCACTGTTCTTCTGTATGCTCCGTCACTCTACGAACTCCGGCCTCCCGCCGCGCGGCGGAGAGGTGACGTATCTCAGCTCACCTGTTCGTCTCAATCCGAGGAGAGTGCCTCCTCTCGACCACTCTCTGGCCACTGCCACCGTTCAACTGACCTCTCCTGCTGCCGGGCACACCAGCTCAGCTCCGCAGCTCCTCCGGAACACCGGCGCCAAAGTCGTCGGACCGGCCGCGCAGCTTTCGCAGGTCGCACGCGGACGGACACGGCAGGTTAGTGGGTCGGCACCGCGCGGAACCGGCGTCTCATCCCCCGGCGGATGGAACGGACGGGACGGCACGGCCAGCCGGCCCTGCCACTCGGCCAGCCAGCCCTGCCACACGGCCAGCCGGCCGTGCCACCTTGTCTGGAATGTGGCGGCGAACAGAGCCGCGACGGCGCGGCGGCGAGGTGTTCGGGCCCGCATGTAACTCTGGGGATATCATTTAGGCTGCTGGGGTATACCTTCTGCTTGAACATCGCACAGTCCACCAGGGCACAGTGGCAGTTGGCACCGTGTTTCGACTTTCGTTATCACTAAACCTTGCTGTTAGTAGTTTGTGATGTGCCCCCTGAATCAGTTCGAGGTCGAGGTCGGGGTCTTATGAACTTCCGTTGCGCCGACCCATTTGACAAATTTTATGAGAAGCGGAAAATATCTAAGGAAAATGAAAATAGAAAACGTGCCCAAAAATCCTTCATCTAAACCGGCAACTGAAACGAAAAAAAAAACTTCAAAACACTCGTCAGCCAGTTAGTTGCCTGACAAAGCCGACAAACAAATGAATCAAACGCACGATACCCTCAGGAAACCGGACAGCTAAGCCCAATGGTCTCCCCGAAACACACAGACCAGACGTACCCCTCAGACCTATCGTCTATGCATGCGGATTACGCAGTACGGTATAGGTAGACTTTCAAATTGCGGCCCTTGTCTGGTGTCGAACTGCTACGAGTGCGTAAAACACGCATGCGTTGCGCGGTTCAATGTTCAATCTAACTAGCAGCAGGCACATGCAGTGCGGTGCAGTCTAAATTCAGGCGACCACATGTGCCGTGCGGTGCAGTCTAAATTCAGGCGACCACATGTGCCGTGCGGTGCAGTCTAAATTCAGACGACCGTATGTGTAGCGCGGTGCAGTCACTACAGGCGGCTGCATATAGTGCATACTGCATATGCTACAGGCCGTATAAAACTTCGTCCGTTTGCAAACCGCCTGAAATATTAGGCCGTTTGGAAACGGCCTAGGGAGCTTGAAAACGGCCTAGTGAGTTTTACGGCTTGGCGGAGTATAACAACCTCTGACTGAAGATAACTTGATGGATCCAGATTGGTCAATGATCGGGTCTGCGGAAAGACTCGTCTACATCGAGCATTTTCTAACTGTGCAGGTGCTCGTCCCGGGCCTGTTCCTGACAATATTACTTTAGGCTCCCTCGCCGGCACAGGCTATTTTGCGTCCTTCGATGGCATAAGGGGGCAACCTACGACCCCCTCGCGTTTGTCTCCTGATCGAGCTAAAGCTCCGCGAAAAAAACGAGCGTGCTGCCCGTGACGAGAGGAAGCCGATCATACCCAAGTTTAAGGTCCGAGGTCATCGGTTGGCCTTCCAGGTCAGGTCAATGACCCAAAAGTCGGGAAAGTTGGAACTTGTTAGAACGTCGTGAAGTGTGGCTGCTATGGGGTTTTTCGTGGTGCTGATCACGAAATGATGACTTCATGCATTTAGGCCAGGTTGGGTCAGGTCAGGTCAACCAGTGGGGTAGCCTGGGCCAAGACGCCCCAGATAATTTATTTTGCTACAAAACTTTTGTCCTACATAACCTGGAAGGCTAAATTTGTGCTTAATGCGTTCTTTGGACATTTTACTTTAAATTGGACGCCATTTAATTGCGTCCCAGAAAAGCTATTTCTGGCACCTAAAAGCTGACTCGCCCCAAAATTGGTCCTCAGCACCTATTTGGTGGATACCAGCACCAATCATGGAAAATGACCTTAATTAGCTGTTGTAGCGGGTGCAACAGCGCTCCGTTGCTAGCGACGGCGCCGTAGCGTGTGCAACCCAGCGGCGGCGTCGCAAACTAGTAAATCCTTTTGATGCACGCAGATGTCAGTGATTGATTGACACATATGTCTTGTGATTGTTTTCTGCCTTATATGTTATCTCTTGTAACCGTAGCTGTTGTATTGTCACGCCTTAAGAGGGTAATCTAGGAGCGCAGGTGTGGAGTAATTTTTCTTTGTCCAACTGTCACTGTAATTTGTAATATTACCATTTAGACGCTGAAACTACCTATGCAAGGTAGCCTTGCTAGAAATATAGTGTGCCAATTTTTGTTCAATAAATCAGTACGATCCACGATCGGTAACTCGTTCATCCTAGTCAAGCTCAGAGCTACCGACACGGGCCCACATCGGGAGTCTCCTCCTCCCTTGGAGTTGTGTGGTGCCGACGGTGGCGGATGGTAGTCTCTGCCTTGACAATCCTTTCACTCCCTCTCACAACGAGAGGTGAACTACTAGCGGTATACACTGCTAGCGGTTCAAGTGGCCAACGGCTACTCTCAGCCGTGCCACATTGGTGACACCCGACTCTGGACTCACGTGCCAGACACTTACTCCTGGCCGTCTCACTGGCCCCGCTGTGGTACGGACCACTACTGGCCTTCTCACCTGCCAGACGGCCACTTCCGGACTTCCACCTTCTCTCGCCGCGGTGCGGACCCCCAAGGCACGCAGGATTCGCCGCGGCACGCAGGATTCGCCGCTGACTGGGGGTACGCCATCAACACGCCAGCGGATTGTGATGTCTTCCCGGACCTCTGTAACGCAGCGAGCGTAGTGGGCAGCGGCCAGGTCCGGGATGAGCAGTGCGTCGTCTCGGGCTCTCAGTGTACAGTGTTAACCCCCGGACCACGGTAGCGCAGCGAGCGCAGTGGGCAGACGAGTTGCCGGTCCGGGGGACGCGGCGCGGTACGGTGACGTGTACACCATGCCCGTGATGGAGGGCGACACCTCGCAGGAGGCTGCGTCGGCCGACACTCCTGCCACCACGGCTGCATCGGACGAGCGGGCGCGACCGCTTGCTTCATTCAGACTGCCGGCGTTTGCCCCGGACGAGGCGGACCTCTGGCTGCTCCAAGTTGAATGTGCGTTCGACGTGGCTGGCATTGCCGATCCCGTCACAAAGTTCAAGCTGCTGGTGGCAAATCTGCCTACCAACGTGGCGGCCCAAGTACGGGACGTTATCGTCAGTGCACCAGGAGACTTCGACGGGCTGTGCACTGCCCTCCGCCAGCGCCTCGCCCAGTCCCGTGCCAGCCGCCTCGAGGCCCTGCTCCGGCATCAACAGCTCGGCGACAGGTCGCCTTCCCAGCTTCTTCGCGATATGAGAGGACAACTTTCAACGGCTGGCGACTCGTCGGTGGACAGTGGCCTACTGAGGACCCTGTTCCTCCAGCGGCTGCCGCAGTCCGCCCGCGCCGCTCTCTCGCTCCTGCCGGAGGCCACTCCGCTGGCAGAGCTCGCAGAGGCGGCTGACCGCTTCCTGGAGGCGTCTCGGCCCACTGGCGCCGTCTCCGCCGTAGGTGCGAACTCCAGCCCGGCTCCTGCGGCCACGACTGGGGACGGAGATCTGGCTGCCGCCATCGCTTCCCTGTCCGCCGTCATCAGCCGGCTGGACATCTCCCATCGGCGGTTGGAGGGGGCAGTTGCTGGTCGCCGCTCGCGGCCAGGAACGCCTAGGCGTGGCTCCCGGTCGTCCTCGCCCTCCCGCGACGAGCGGGAGGATTACTGCTGGTACCACCGCACCTACGGAGCGCGGGCCCGAAAGTGCACTGGGCTGTGTGCGTGGACGCCGGCGGGAAACTCGGAGGCCTGAGCCGGCCTGCGCCTCCCGCATCAGGCCCGACACCGGACTTGGCGCCGCTCTTTTATGTGCACGATACTAAATTGAACTGCCGATTCTTGATAGACACTGGGGCCGAGGTCGGTCCAGCGGACCGGCGGATCAGCCGCACGCAGTGCAGTCTTCAGCTGACGGTGGAAACGTTCCACCAGACCGTTGCTCTGCGGATGGTAACTGGTGGCCCGTTACGGCGTGCCGTCCTGCGTCACTACTGACCGTGGTGCACAGTTTGTCCTCCTCCCTTGGAGTTGTGTGGTGCCGACGGTGGCGGATGGTAGTCTCTGCCTTGACAATCCTTTCACTCCCTCTCACAACGAGAGGTGAACTACTAGCGGTATACACTGCTAGCGGTTCAAGTGGCCAACGGCTACTCTCAGCCGTGCCACACTGTTTCTGGCACCTATTCATCGGTACGCCTTACTCTTTTTTCTGAATCTGGCACCTAAATGCTGAGCGTAGCACCAATCTAGTAGAAAAATGAGCTACTAGCTGGTAGAATCATGTTGTTCTGGTATAATGACCCCTGGAGTCTAGCCTAAAGGTTGCCAGTGCAGCTACACTCTAAGACAGCCCCGTAGTGATCTCAGAATTGTATATGACGTTTAAGTAAGCAAATAATATTGATTTGTTTGAAAAAAATGTCATTTAAATATTTAAAAGTATTTATTTGTAATGCTTAAAGGGAAACATTTTTTTGTGAGTAATTGTCTCGATTTTGACCATTAAAACGGGTATTGTATTTTTTGACGTCATCAAATAGCTCCAAAAAAGAAATGTTATGTTTTCATTCCGTTCAAGGCCGCTGAAGAAACGTTTCTTATAGGTATCTTGGAAGAAACGCGGGATCTTGCGTGGGACATTGTCTGTTGTTTGCCGCGCAGAGTTGTGCCGTGGTTGTGCCTTTTTCATCCGTTTCTTAATGTGTGCATGAAGCTTTGATTTTGTTTTTGGTTATTGTGTGACCGGTCAGTCAAACGCCCCTGTAGAAACCGGATGCTGCGTTTGATCGAGATGGAGTCAGACGATGATTGCAGGAAGCTAATAATATTGAAAAGAGGGCCGGTTGCGTGGCATGTCTGTTCAGAGTTGACATTTTGCTTTACTCCAGTTTATGACCTGAGAGCCTGCCTGGAAGTGACGGATCCAAACTTTTCACGTTAAAATGGCTGAGGGTGCAATAATCTCTACATAGCGGGCTGGTATAGGAGCGTCTTACTATGCTGCACCATAGCTGGCTAGTGATTCTCTTTTGGCTAGAAATGGCATTAAACATTATCTCCACTGGCGAAAATGGCACTTGACATCACCGAATGCAACGTTCATGTTTGTTAGGATACATAAAATCAGGAAGATTACGCGAATTAGGTAGGCAAACGTGGAATAAAATAGGTGCTGGATGTTTTGGTTTTGGTGCTGAATCAGCAAACAGCAAATACGGAGTTCAACTAGACGATCTGGCAACTTTAGGCTGTGTGGAAGCAATTAGGTGCCAGATTCAGATATTAGGGTCGAATAAGCATTTTGGGGCTGATCAGCAATTAGGTGCCAGAAACAGCTTTTTAGGGACCAGAAACAAATATTCCCCCTTTAAATTCCACCCCTCAAATTATTTCTTTTATGATCGGACTCCCAGCTAGGAAGTGATTTGTGAAGCGACTGCAAATGGGGCATTTTGCCCCAACCCCAGGGCAAAACGCCCCATGACCTGGAGCAAGAATCCCCATACTCTAGATTAAAGATTAAACATGGTAGTTGGCTAAATCTTATGTGAGAGGTCCGTCAGACCTCTGGAGGCACGGCACGAAAGTTACCACATTCCATCCTATCAGGTGTTCAGCTACGACGCTATTGTATAAACAGCTCTTTCACCTGCCTCATAAGGCCAAATAATAAATTATTGCAATGCAAATGTTAACAAATTACTGCCTTTGCCATCCTGCAGTTGCTGAGAAAAATACATATAAATGCATAGAAACTTACTGTTTGCCAGCTACCGAACATTAGGAAGTGGGTAGTCCGAACAACACATGAGGTAGGGGAAAGTGGGGTAAGACGGGCACCCTAACTTTAGAGCCATTTTTTGGCCGGTTAGAAACAACATAGAGACGTGAAACTGAGTGAAAACCTTTTCTACATAGACATTTTACTTCCATTTGCCAGAAGATGAAACTTTGAGCTGATTCAACCAATAGGTAAACTGTAGCTTTTTTTGCAAAACCTTGCAAAACCCGTCTTGCCCTGTCCCATGGGGTAAAACGGGGTATGGGTCACATGGGTAGGGTAAGGCGGCCAGCTACTTTCACCGACCAGCACAACTAGTAATAATTACCCGAGATTAGCCGCATTGATACTGTCGCTCGTTGGTCTCAAGTGCTTCGAAAAAGGCAGTATACGAGGTTCGTGCAGAATGCGTATGCTTGTATTTAGGCCCTAGTTCAGAAGCCTTGTAAATCCGTCTGTCATTTTCATCATTAGAGGAAAAACTGTGCCGAAGGAATATTGCTAATACGTCTGTGAGTATCGAAATCGAACACATTTTCACCAGAAATGCTTCTTTTTTCCTATAACAGCAACAGAAATATTTTCAACATTTTAACCCGCGCCCCACTGGGGTCTGCGTATAACACGCCCTACTGGGGGGGGGGGGGGGGCTATTCATAGCCCCCCCCCCTCCTAACTCCGAAACTACTGGGCCGATCGTCAAAATTCAAACGGCGTCTGATAGCCCCGGAAAAACTGTCGATCGAAACCAAATTTCATTGACCTCGAGATCACCGATGACGTCACAGGTCAGGTCAAAGTAAAAATTATTAGCATTTTGGCTTCTTCACGTTTTGGGCTCTGGCCGCCGTCTTACAAGTCAGATCAGGCTCATTTTTCGTTCACACACTCGTGAACAGATACTCTAGATACTCTGAGGGTACTGAACTTGTACTTTGGTTTTCAGGTCAAGGTCAGGTCATCACAGGTCACGAAAATATTATATCATCCGTCGGTCACGTGACACATGTTTTATGGTCCATTTAGGCCGAAAATTTCGAATTTGATGTCGTCTGTGTCATTCGAGGTCATTTTGAGTCAAATTTAGCTTAGGTCAGGTCACTTTCAGGTCAAAAAAGGTCCAATTTTGAAGTTAAAATTTTTCAACAAAAAAGGTATCTATTGGATGCAGTTTGAGCTCAGGAACACGATGGTGCTATTTATATTGGCGTACGATGTTAAATTCGTGCTGAAAAATTGATTTGAAAAATAAATAATTGTTAATTTTTTGCAATAATGCGTATAACTTGGCCATTTTTGAAGATATTTAGCTAAAACCTGCTAGAGTTAGTCAAAATAATGCGTTCTATCACATATATTCTGGTTTTTCGAAAGGTCAAGAAAAAAATTCTGAAAAAATGTAAAAATATAAATTTTGAATTTTATTATATAAAATTTTCAAAATTTTCAAAATTTCGAAAATCCGAGATAACAGTTTGATAGCGCAGGCTATTCTGAGTCCTCTCATTCAAAGAAATTGGATCCAGCTTAAAAACTGAGCTCTTGGAAGCGATTGCCGTGGTTCAATGTTTTGCGTCGAAATCGGCCGAACATGACGTCACTCTTACGTCATTTCCGGCCGACCTATGGTAGGTACGAAGTTCAAATTTTGAATCAAGGTGTCAAATTGATGCAGCCGAAGGTACTGAAAGTTTGGCGTCGATACGTCAAGCGGTTTGGAAGTTATTGCAGAAAAACGGGGGGGGGGGGCTATAAATAGCCCCCCCCCCAGTGGGTCGCGGGACCCATTGGATCCATACTTGCCCGTCTTACCTCAATGTTAGAAGTTCAGCACGATTTTTATCTGTGGACAATTTGATGCAGGCGGAGCAATTCCGCGGTAAATGAACACTGGTGGCATATGAGTGTTCAAGATGTTTACGAGTTTTTTTTTTTATTTTATTGTGCTGCGCACAAGAGTTTGCACAATACATTAGGATGTTTTCAATGAAATGAGTGTTTTTAACTCTCGCCCGGCCGCACATGCCATTTTCCCATCCTAGAACGCACATGGGGGGATGGTTGCCTCCCCCCGCGCCATTTCGTTCCTGTTGGAGATAGAGCTTAGCGGTAAGAACCAAAAAGATTCTTTGGGAAGAGACGAATCCAATGATACCCAGTTTTACCTTCTCAGGTCAGTCATTGACCTTCCAGGTCATGTCAAACTAAAAAATGTTGCTGTTTTGGGTCACCGTTGGATATCAAGTGCGCTGCTTATCATATACCGATGACGATGCTGTTTTCTGGTGCCAAGCCAGCTAGAACCTCTTTGTGACACTACCCGACCAGATTATTGCTGCTGAGGTCATTTCAGGTCAAGTTAGGTCAAGGTCAATTATATGTGTTTGTATGTCTGTGTGTGTCTGTGTGTATACTGGTGTGTGCACCGATTGTTTTTGTGTCCATATTATATGAAATCGTGATCTAATGAGCTTTTACGAAAAATGCAGTCAAAAAACTTCACAAAAAGTAAATTCAGCTTGCTTAAAACGCCATTATGTTAGATGACCTAGGTTGACCTTGACCCTGTCCTTGACACCTGTACATCGTCGAACAACATGTTCCATGATAGGTGGGAGGTAAGACTGGCAAAAAAGGCCGAAATCAAGGTGTCAAAAGCTCACAAGGCCCCTGGC